CCGCTCAAAACTCAACTATTACGGCTGAGCAGGCTGCCAATCCCTAGAATTCAAGTCTATAGGCACTGCAACTAGTCTCGTGGTCCTGAAGATTAATCGTACATCGGGATGCCGAAGGTGAAAGATCAATGTGATTCGCAGCGAGAGCTTCTTCGTTGTCGGCTACCCAATATCCCAATGTGTCGGTGTCGTAAGTTGGTATCATAGTTACCTCTAAACAACAAGAAACATTATATAAATTGTTATTACTAGAGATTACGCGTGATAACTGAACCGGATAAAAGTACGATGTATCGTTGGACGGATATATTGAACGATGAGAAAAATGGCAGCATCTCTATGATACAGAAATATACGCGCAGATAGGAAGAAAGGGTAGAAGGAGGATAAACGAGACTTACCGAGATCTTTGTCTTCCCATGTTTTCTTGGCTTCCAATATAGCGTCGTAGACAGACTGGGCTCGGTACCGCTGAACACGTAATATCTCGCGCGAACTCTTTTGAAAAATTCCAACGACGTATAATACGAGTTTCCATGGTGAGGTACATAGGTCAAGTCCACGTACACCGATTGTACTTTATTCTTCGAGTCCTTTATCCTCTTTTCATTTTTACCCGGACTCTCCGAGCGTTTTTTATTTTTCAGGTTTTCGGATAAAACCCTCCTCGCTTGCATCTTTTCCTTCTTCGGTGTGCCAGGTGCACCCTTGTTGGAAACTTCATTGGTTATAGGAGCAGGCGAAGGTAATCCGAGCACCCAGTCTTCGATGGGATCCAAGTTGAGTCTGGTATCGTTATCGGAACCCATTACGCTCGTTTCCTCCACGTTCGAATTGCCTAGTTGCGTGGCGGTATTTTTCAGGTTAAACTTTTTCGGCGGTACAGGGGACGGAAGACCCAACGGAGTTCCCCAACCATCTAGCGGATCTTTCTTAGTATCGGTTCTGGGATCTCTCTCGGTACGCTGCTCTCGGTCTTCCGGCCTGTCGCTCGTCTCGGACGTTTCTCCGCGAACGCTACCGTTCGTGTACCTCGATGAGATAGTTTTCCCCTGTCCGTCCATTTCTTTTGTTTCCTTTCGTTCCATCGTCAGTGCTTTCTCAAAGTCAAGATCAGCCTCGTCGATGTACTTCTTTGCGTCGGGTTTCTCCTTGTAATCGCCAGCGTACTCCTTCTCCACGGTGAATCGTTTACACGAATAATCGCTTTGCTCTCGCTGCAACGGCGAAATCGAAGTATCAACGATTTTGCTTGCACCGTCGCGTCCAACTTCCCGTTGGATAGCCATCGCCTTTGCGGCATCCGATTCTTTTTCTTGCGGCGCCGCACGTCGAAGGGAACTAGCATCGAACACAGCTTCTCCTCCCATATCTTTGCTCGGTAGATATTCGTCCACTTTCACGTCCACTTTCTCCGCTAAAATCACCGTTTCGCCCTTTTCGTTGGTCGTTTCCGTCACTTCACGGGTCGTCGTTATAATTTCACCGTCGTCGGATACCGTTTTAGTGGTGGTGATGATCGTTCTGATAACCTCGCCCGATCGGAATCCTTCCGGCGTTCCCGTCAATGATCGGCCTTCGGATCTTCTATCGGGTGTACATCGGCCGGAAAGGTGCGACTGAATAGCCATGTCGGAAGCGATATCACGTACCTGAGGTGAGACTGGCCGTTTATCCAGTTGCGTATATTTCATTTCTCCTAGTCGTTCGGCTATCTTCTTCCCTCCTCTTTCTTCCTCTGCTTCTTTCCCATCTTTATCCTTCCGTTCCGCAGAATCTTCCGGTATCGCGCTTCTAATCCTATCCTCGTCCATCGGTTCGATCGGTTCGATCGGTTCGATCGTTTCGATCGTTTTGGCTGTTGGTACTGCTACCTCCTTTACAATTGCCACGCTAGTCTCCTTCGCGTCTGTTTTTCCAGGCGTTGTTGCGCCATCTTTTTCGATAATCGTTTTCGTCGTCACTGTTTTCTTCGCCTCTATATCACCCGTTAGCGCCTCTATCGCCGATGATGATGATTTCTCACCGACTGTTAATTTCTCAACGTCGGATAATTCACCTCCCGTGATCACGATCTTTCTCGTTTCCGTCCTCACCTTCGTTTCGATCTTCGTCTCGATCGGGAAATCGGCCACCACTTCTTTGCTCGCCATTTCTCTTATCCTTTCCAAATCCTCACCCTCGTCCATTTGCTCGCCTTCCGGAACAATGATTTCGCGTTTGATCACTTTGGTCGTGATCACTACCGGTTCGTCCTGTTCGATAATTTCCCGTTTTATAACCTTTCGAATTATTTCCGGCTCGTCGTCGTCTTCTTCCACAATCTCGCGCTTTATAACCTTCCGAATTATTTCCGGCTCCTCCTCTTCCATAATCTCGCGCTTTATAACCTTCCGAATCGTTTCAGGTTCGTCCAGATGGGAAACTTCCCGTTTCACGATTTTCTTAACCACGATAACTTTACCGTCTGCCGAGATTTCTCTTTCATCGTCGGTTGACACTTGTTCCGTTGCTGCTACTCTCTCTACAGTCTCGGTGATCCGTCTGTCCGACGTAACGTCCACTTGGTCATATTCCGTGTCCGGCGTTGCACGTTTACTCGCATCTACAGATTTTTCTACCGATTTTTCTACCGATTCACCGATTTTACTTTCTTTCAACACGGTAACTATTCGCGTTGACTTTGCCTCGGTCGATCTCGTGCTTTCGATAACGGACGTATCCGTTTGCGGGCTGGTCGGATAAACGGTAGTTGGCGCCGTAGCTGGCGCAGTGGTAACTGCGATAGTGGTAACGGCGGCAGTGGTAGCGGCGGCAATGGCGATTTCTTTGTCCAGTGAATCTCGATAATCGAGCAATTTACCTGCAACCGATTTATCTTCTACCTTTTCCACGGTAGAAGCTGTTGGCTCGGAAACCGAGTCAGGTGTTCCGTCCCGAGTAATATCTGGCGTTGATTTTCCTGACAACGTGGTAATATGAGTCGTACGTATTTCCGTCACTCCACCGACGAACGCTTTGTGAAATTGGCTCTCGTAACTCACCGGATAGTCGGAAATCGAGGACGTTTCCATAATTTGTCCTTCTCGCACGCCCGACGGCTGGTATTCGGCCGTCGTCTTGTAATCGTACCTTCCTCTCCTTTCCCCATCCGTAGAATCATATCGAAGCTCCATAGGTTTTTCATATCGATATCCATCTTTCTCGTAACTATCTTCTGGCTCGTCCTCTTGACAAAGTTCTACGTCGATCACGAAATCTCGAACGAGTTTCTTTTTCAAAATTATTTCTTCGATAATCTCGAAAATAATGTACCGAGGTAAACACGTTCTAACGATAATTTCTTCCAAGACTTTCTCATTGATCCTTTTCCCTTGTTTGATATAATCCTCCTCTAAAAGTTTTTCCATCTCGGTCCTCTTCTCTTCCGAAATCGAAACTTCTTCGTCGATGTGCGGTTCGGAGCGTACAGGACTATCCTGAGTAGATTTGTCGGAAGCGATCAGATCGGAGCTTAAACTAGAGCTCATTGAACCATCGCTCCTATCCTTTGTATCTTTATGACGCTGTTGTTTCGCGTCTTCTTCCGACTTTTCCTTTTGCCGCTCGGTCATCTCTAACACCGAATCTCTTTTTATCCTCTTTGTCGTGAGAATCGTTTCGACGATGTTCATTATTACGAATTCCGTGACCGAGTAAATCCTAATTATCTCTTCTATTACGAGTCTTGTGATTTTCTTTCCCTTGTTTACGTATTCTTCTAAGATATACTTTTCGATAATCGCCATCTTCTCCGCCGTTATCTCCATTCCATCACTCTGATGGAGTGGAGCACTCTGCTGCCCGTCCGTTACCACTCCATCCCCTACCTTCTTCTCGAGCAACAACCTCTCCTCCACGGTAGACGTCTTTACTTTTTCTTCAACCACGTCGCTAATAACATCCACCAATTCTGATTTATCCGTTAATCCCTTCGAGTCTATCGGCATGTCAGTTTGAGCCAACGATTCGACAACCTCGACATAGGTACCAGGTGACTTTGACTGTTGGACGCCGCTCGGTATTTTTGACATATCCGGCGCATCTTTTGACAAAGTTGCTTTTGCCGCGTCTTTTCCTTCCATATCTGCCATAGTAGCCATTTCCTCAGCGATACTGGCCGATTTCGATTTATCGGATTCCGCTTTTGCTGACTTTGACATTTTCGATGCATCTTTTGGTTCATCTGGAGAACTCGATACGCTGGATGTTCTAGACATCCTATCGACATCTTTTACACCGACATCTCTCGTCGTATCCACCGCCTCGCTAGGAATGCTCGGCGACCTTGACTTTTCAGGTGCGCTCTTCGATTCCACTGAAGCAATGGACATGCTCGGGGATCTAGATATATCGGCATCCTTTCCTTCGGTATCTTTCGCGTCGCTCGCGTCGCCAGAAATGCTCGGTGATTTTGACTTGTCGGAATCGACTTTCGTTTCTGTCGGTACACTCGTTACGCTTGGAGATCGAGATTTCTCAGCATCTTTCGCATCGACATCCTTCATGTCTGCGACCTCGCTTGCCACGCTAGATGACTTTGACTTATCAGTTTCACCCCTCGGTTCAACACTTGCGATGCTGGGTGATCTAGATTTCTCCATACCTTTTTCTTCGATATCCTTCGTGTCTGCAACATCTCCAGCAATACTTGGTGACTTTGACTTATCGGACTCAGTTTTCGTTTCTTCTGGTACACTCGCTACACTAGGAGCTCTAGATCCTTCCACATCTTTCGTCTCAATATCCTTCATATCTACAACTTCCCTAGAAATGCTAGGCGATTTAGATTTGCCGGTTTCCACTTGCCGCTCCTCAATATCCTTTATGTCGGGTATTTCGCAAACAATGCTCGGTGAAATTGCCTTCTCGGATTCCACTTTCGATACTATCGGTATACTCGTCGCGCTGGGAGACCGAGACTTCTCGATAGCTTTTATCTCAACTTCTTTTTCATCCAAAATGTCTCCAGCAATGCTGGGTGATTTTGATTTATCGCTCTCAACTTTTCGTTCCACCGATACACTCGTCACACTTGGTGATCGCGATTTCTCCATGCCTTTTGTCTCAATTTCCTTTACATCTGCAACGTCACCAGCAATGCTGGGTGATTTCGACTTGTCGGTTTCAGCTTTTGGTTCGATTGATACACTCGTTACACTTTCAGACCGAGACTTCGCGACATCCTTTACATCGGCAACGTCACCAGCAATGCTGGGTGATTTTGATTTGTCAGATTCAGCTTTCATATCCATTGTAACACTGGTTACACTGGGAGAACGAGATTTCTCCATATCTTTCACTTCAACATCTTTTACGTGTGCAATGTCTTCAGCAATGCTGGGTGATTTCGATTTGTCGGTCACCATTTTCTGTTCCGCGGATAGACTTGTTACACTGGGAGAACGAGACTTGTCGATATCTTTTGTCTCAAGGTCTTTTACGTCTACAATGTCTTCAGCAATGCTGGGCGATTTCGATTTCACGGTCTCAACTTTTGATTCGATAGTTACACTCGTCACACTGGGAGAACGAGATCTCTCGATATCTTTTGCCTCATCATCCTTTACGTGTACCATGTCCTCAGCAATGCTGGGTGACTTCGATTTGACGGTCACCACTTTTTCTTCCATTGTAACACTCGTAACACTGGGCGAACGAGATTTCTCGATATCTTTTCTCTCAACTTCTTTTACATCTGCAACATCACCAGCGATGCTGGGTGATTTCGATTTATCACTCTCAACTTTTGGTTCCATTGATACACTTGTCACACTGGGAGACCGAGACTTGTCGATATCTTTTGCCTCAACATCTTTCACGTCTGGCATGTCCCCTGCAATGCTAGGTGACTTCAATTTATCGGGTTCGACCTTTGTTTCCATCGATATACTCGTTATGCTGGGAGTACGAGACTTCTCGATATCTTTTACCCCACCATCTTTTACGTGTGCCATGTCTTCAGCAATGCTAGGTGATTTCAATTTGTCGGTTACAACTTTTTCTTCGATTGATACACTCGTCACGCTTGGAGAACGAGATTTCCCT